CCTTAGGGAGTTAGAGGGACAGAAGCCCTGGGAAAGAGGTGAGACTCCAAGTTTTTGGAGTAAATGGTTTTATTTTGTAATAGCAAGATTGAGTTTTGGAATATTTGATCATCAGTTCATTAATACGTTAAAATAATGAATTGTCTTTGTATTATTTTTGCATAAACAGGTCGTACTCCAGGATTTAGATAAAAAAGAAAATGGATTACGTGATATATTAGCTGTTCTTACTATGAAAAGGTATAAAAATTATACTACTTATGGTGTTAAGAATACTCACTAAGAGACTAAATTTTTTTATAAACTAATTATTTTATAATCAATCTGTAATGCATACTGATCCTTACTAATTAGTGGCATAATTTTTATCAGTTTCAAATTAATTTTTTAAGGCCTATTTAATATTATTTATCCATGAAAGGAATTAAGTTTTTTTCTCTACCATTATAGAAATTTCTCTGGGAAATAAATTACTAACTAAATCCAGCTATTATTATGATTTCCTTAACAATAGTTCATCATTCACACTGTGATTTGTAAGTAAATTATTCCTAAATTAACATAAACAACTCGTTTCATCAGCCATACTTAGGAAAAATAAAGAATTCATTAGGGTGGGTTTGTCTTGGCCTGCGCTTGAAAATGGCATGATGCACCCTGTACTTACATAGTCTTAAAGGTAAGATCAGTTTATCATCATGGGTTTTCAAGGAATACAAATTTTGCCTCAGTGGTCTAGGAGAAAACTTGCAAGGACCACCATATAATCATAGCGTATGATACAAAAAAAAAAAAAATGGTTTATTTTAATAATCTTTGGGAAAGCTAAAACCGTCTCTTAAGTACTCAGTCCTCAAATAATTCCTTGAGGACTTTATGTTTTATAAAATAAGCTTATGAATTGTTACTTTTTGTTTTTTTAGGGATGGATCTTTACATGTGACATGCACAGATCAAGAGACTGGAAAATGTGAAGCAATCACTATTGAGGTGGCATCTTAGTGTTTTAGAGAAACCATGAATTTTTTTAAACCAGAATATCAACATTATTTGGTTTTGTTTATAAGTGATGTTTATATTAAAATACTTTTTGAATGAACTTTATAATCTGTGTCTCTGTTAAGCTACAATACATTAGTAAGTGCTGGAACCTTTTTGTTTTTCATTCAAGATGAAATAGTAGGAAATATAAAGAACTTATTTTGTTATAAAACAATTTACAATTAAGTCAGATTGATTGAAAGAAATTTTAGTAGAAATTTGGCATTGTGTCTTATTTTTTGCTTCTGTGTCTTCATAAGAGAACATTTTAAAAGTCTTTGATAGTAGAACTAAAAAATTGGAGAACCATAAATATATAAAGATGACACTTTTGCTTTAAAAAAGTAATCTCATAAATTCAGCAATGGTGTTTGTAATGTGTATAATACATACATAGAAAAAGGTCTCAAAACCAAAGTCTGAAAAGTTTCTTTTGTGAAAAGAAATACTAGGGAAGGTACTTTTCCTTTTATAACTTTGTTTAGTTTGAGTTTTTCTTCTAACATGTTTCTTCTGCCATTAAAGTTTTTGTTTTTTTTTATTTTGAAGAGATGGCTAGCCACATTGTGTTCATCAGAGAACATTCACTAGTTTACAGAGATGTTAATGAAAACACTTACTCTAAATTGGAAAAAAAAAAAAAAACCCTGAAAACTAATCTGCACATGTTGGGGGGAAAGTTGAAAGGTAAGCAATGCACAACAGACTCTAGATTTTACAAAGAGGATTTTCCACTCACATCTCATTTTGGTTCCCAGCAGACCTAGGAAGACAAATGGTGGTAAGGTTTAAAAACTGCTTTTTTTTCTGTTCAGACTTTGCATATGTGCTTTATTAAACTTGTGTAGGTGGGAATAAGTAGCAATATCCTATTTCTAAAGATAAGAAACCAAACTTTCAATTTTTTCATTTTTCTGCATCAACAATTCCTGAATAGAGAATTCAGACATGATCATAAGTCTATAAGTCAGCAGCCTCAAAGGCATATCCTTTTGACTAGGGCTGAGTACTTCTTCAGATAGTTCCCAAAGTTATAAAAAGTTTTGAAATTAAATCAAGTACATGTATAAGCCATTAAATGTTTCTGGAAACTATCAAGTAAACTAGCTGAACTGCTAACGCTAAGTATTTCTAGTTATGCTTTGGAAAAGTACGTTAGGGTTTTATTTTGTAGTCATTTTTAGCTTTTTACCAGCACCATGCTTTAACCAGACATCCCCTGTTAGTTTTTTAAACTAATCACAAATTAATAACCTATGGCTAATGTGTCAGTTCTACCTCAAGCCTGTTTTTGTAAATAAAATTTTATTGGTTTGCTAGCCATGGTCAGTCATGCATGTATTGCTCATGGCTGATTTCAGCTACAATGAGTCAAGTAGTTGGAACAGAGACTGTGTGGCTGCTGAAATCTTCATAGTGCTGTGCTTTAACTCTTGTACCACCAGGGAGGCCCTCATCCTGTTTTACTGAAATAATCAAGATCTGTAAAACATAACACATTTTGAAGACTGTTTTTAAGGGTGTAGAAAGGAGGGGGAAAGACAACAGATACCTTCTTTAGGTAGGGTGGCCACGGAGGCTTCTGAATAATGACATTTAAGCTGACACTCAAGTGATAAGGTAGCCTATGAAAAAAGGAAGGAGCATGTCTTCTGAGCTAGGAAGTAATTTAGAGTTGTCTAAAATTATTTCCTTTCTTCAGTATAGTCTCCACAAGGACATAGTCATTTTCTTTCTTCTCCACATTTATATTTCCAACACCTCATACAGTGCCTGGCGCTGGAGATGTACAGTCTTCTGAATGAATAGAGAAGAGACCTGGAGAATGGTGAACAATGGAGAGTGACAAGGCTACACAAAGAAGCTTTATCAGCTATCGGAAGCTTTAATTCTAGGCCTATTGAGGAAGTGTTTAACTAAACAGAAGGACATGTGTGTGTAAAATGGATTGGAGGAGAGTAAAAGTGGAACTGAAAATACTTAGACTTCATGGCCTAAACTAAGAGAATAGTGAAGATGGAGAAAAGAGGCAGAATCAAGTTATATTTTGCACTTGCTAATGGAATTAATTTGGAGAAAGGAGTTATGAATCAAAACACCACCAAAATTTTCCTCTAGAGAACACATTGAGGATGTGGTGCCCTACAGTGGACGGGACGAGATACAAAGGCAAAAATTCAATAATACTACATGAGGATGTTCAGTTTGAGGTATTTGTGGGACACATAAATGGAAATTTGAACTAGGCAGTCTGGAATTCAGGGCAGAGATCACAGCTGGAGACAAAAGTTAGGAATCTCAAGCATTAAGGTATTTTTACATAGGTGGGAATTGAAGCATTCATTTCAGGGAGAGGGCAGGAGAGATGTATGGTAACCAAACCCTGAGGAAACTAGACATTTAGGCTGAAATAAGGAAAGGGAACTAAAAGGAAAATAGAAAGTTGCTAATGAAGTAGAAGAAAAACCTAGAAAGAAGTTAAGGATCAATGCTTTGGGTAGTTTCCTACGAATACAGAAGAGGTAGTAAATAACCTTAGGGAGTTAGAGGGACAGAAGCCCTGGGAAAGAGGTGAGACTCCAAGTTTTTGGAGGATCTTGGAATAATCCTAGCTAGCATAGGGGAATGGAGGGCATTTTCTGGGCAGAAAGTAACAAAGTCCTGGGATCTGGGACTACTAAAAGTTAAAAGAACCAGGAGGAAATGATTGGCAATGAGGTTTGAAAAATGAACATGAAGTAGTATAATAAGGGCTTTCCATGTGAGGATTGTAAAAGACCCGTTATTAAGATGTTCATAGAAAGTAGATAATTGTGTAAAGAGAAGTCAAAAAGGAAATCATGCCCCAGACATTTTATATTTAGTTATATTCCTATATATTATTTCCACAGTTCAAACTACAGTTTGAGTTTTTGTTTTGCTTGATGTATTGAACACTTCTCCCAAGGTATTGAAAGTTTCATCAAGATCTTTTCAATGACAGGACAATATCTCATAACGATCTACCAATTTTAATGTTCATTGCCAATATTTAAATAGTTTTTACATAATGTGTTGACATGTTTAGTTTTTTTTTAAATACGTGATATGTCAAATAGCATTCTAACTTAGTTTTAACAGTTTATTGATATTTCTTTATAGATTGCTTAAAGTAATCACCATGGTTGCGGTGATTATTGCAAACAAACGGGGTGGGAGTGGAGATTAGTTAGGAACTCCTGGAACTGTCCTGCAGGAGCTAGGGGTTGAATAACATTTACCTAGAAGCATCTAGCACAGCAGAATCTCTGATCTGTCCCAGACCCACCAAATTTGAATCTGCATCCTAACGAGATCAGGTTGGTACCTTTGCTCTTTCAAGTGTGGGAAGCTCAGAATTAGACCCATGCTACAAATTGGAATCGCCTGGGAGCTTTAAAGTGCCAATGCCAGGGCCCAGATCTTAACAATTTAATCAACCCCAGGCGAGTGGAACCAAATAAAATCTCTTTACGTGATTTAACACTGACTAATTTTGAAAGCAGATCTGGGCATTAGTTGTTATGAAACAATGGCATGTTAGACTTAAGTGGCTAGGGAACAGACAGGAAAGTAAACGTACTCTGTACCATAAGGCTCCGCTGTACGTTCTGAATTTTGCACAGTGAAGAGTACCGGTGTAAAAGGAATTTAAAAGCGTGGGAAGGCCTGAATCACGTAAGGTCGAATCCGGCACTGAAGGAGCCCAGCGGGGCAGGTGGACGCTACGAGCGCATCGCAACCGGCGCCGACCTCAGGCCCCGCCCCCGTCGTGGAGTCCGGCGCGCCCGGACGTGCTGTGGGGCGCAGGCGCGCGCTCGCCGCTGAGGCGGGGGTTAGCCTCCTGTGACGTCAGGACGCCTCGCGGATTCCAGTCCGCTGCCCCGGCCCCGACTACCGCGCGGCCGGCAGGGGCGGGGCGTCGGGCCAGCTGAGCTATCCGCTCTGACCGCGCCAGTTTGAATGAAAGCTCCTCAAGATGGCGGCGGCGGGGGCCGAGGCGCGAGGAGGTGAGGACTGGAGAGCCGCGAGCCTCAGTGCGCCTCCCGGCAAACTCCCGAGGCCCGGGAAGCGGGGCTGGGACTCTCGGGTCGGCCAGAGCGCGACGCGGCGACACGCCGCCTCCCGCCTTGCTGACACCCTGGCCCCAAAATACGCGCCGCGGGCTTCACCCTTCCTCCGGCCTCTGACCCTCCTCGCGACTCGGCCCGCGAGCACCCCGCAGCCAGCCGCGCCAGGCTCTCGCGGGGCCCGGCCCGTGAGCCCGACGGCGCTGGCATCCACTCCTTTTCCCCGCGTCGAGGTCCTGCGGGTTCCGTGGCCCGACCCCCGCTGCCCGTCGGACCCGAGGCCCCACCCCGCCTGGTCGCCGAGTGGAGATATTCGGGCGGCAGCCGCAGCTCCGGGTAATCCTCTGGGGGGGCTCCGGGTCTTCTAGGCACCTTTATGGCTTGACTCCTTTGTGGTGATTTGAGCGGTACGTCTGTGTTCGGGCTGTCTTTGCAACTGGGAAGAGGGGCGTGCTTGGTAGTATAAACGTGGCCTCACTATCAGAATAAAAGAATTGGGGTTAAAGGATGAACGCTGAGACAAAGTGAGGCTACCCTAAAATCGGACGCACCAGGAGGTTAAGTTCCTCTTTGGAGAAGATCCCAGTAAGTGGGTATTTGAGGACGTAGTTTCTGGTTTAGGTTAATTTTTATTAACCCCCACCCCAAGAATTTGTGTGTTACGTGGACTTCAAAGCATTAGGTACTGAATGGGGGGGGGTGGGGGTGCGCGTGTGCGTGTGCGTGCCGTGCCCCACTCTGAAATACTGGAACTTCCAATGCATTCTAGAATTTAAGGGCGTTTCAAGCATTTCTCTTCGCCACATAGATAAGATTATGAGATTATGAACTCATTATTCCCAGTTTTTCTTCCACTAGGGGTTAATGTGCATTAATGGAAGTTTTTTGTGCCAGTAATGAAATGTTTACTCTTGCCGATGAATTTTTCCCTAGGTTATTATAATTTGAATTGTTATTAAGGCTTTGTAGTTTATGTTCCAATTTTTTTCCTCATTGTGTCTTAAATCCTCACGTTAGATCAACTAGATAAAAATGTTATTGCCAACAAATACACTTTAACTAAATGTTGGAGAGGAACCTCTTACGCATGTTATCAGCATAATGAACTTAACAAAAACATCCTCTAGTTTTTAAATAAAAGGACTTAAGAGATCATTTCTGTTCTACCACCCTCCTACCCCCAAATCTCCACTCCAAACAACTTCTCCCACCCCCGCCCCTAATTTTTTTTGGTGAAACCTTTCACTTTATGTAGTTTTCACTTTATAGGCCGTGGAGTAGGGTAGAGTGGAAATCAAACTTCAGTTTTTGACAATGAACTCCCTAAGAGAGATGGGAAGGTGAGGAAAGGATATTTAAGAACAGCAGTGTTCTCTCTTTGACAGTTACCTCAAAAGACAAAGGTTATCACTACTACCTTGGAGAGCTACCAAGTAAAATTTGAGATTACCAATAGATTTTGTTTGGTAATCTCTTGTACTTCAAACATCGCTTTCCTCCCCCAATAGCCGTTAGACTTAAGTGGCTAGGGAACAGACGGGAAAGTAAACGTACTCTGTACCATAAGGCTCCGCTGTACGTTCTGAATTTTGCACAGTGAAGAGTACCGGTGTAAAAGGAATTTAAAAGC